GCCGCCCTCTGCTGGCCAAACGTCTTCAAAGCAAACATCCCGAATAAAACAGCTATAATAAAACGCAGTTGCTGAAATATTTAAGCAAATGTAAAAAAAAAAATAAAAAATCTAAATATCAAAATACTTCAATATTAGTAAAAAAGTCAYTAATTGAATTTCGACTTTAGTTAAAACTGCTGATAAAATCAAGGAGATGGTTTCAAGTTGCAGCAAGAACAGCATGTACAGTTTTATTTCCTGGAGCAAAATCTGCATTGTTTCATCTTTAAAGACACATCTGAGTAGTTCTATTGTGTTTATATAAAACAGGAAATGTCAGCATTATTCAGACCTAACAGACAAGTTGTTCTCTCGAATTAAAGACTGAGACCAAATATTAAACTGATAACATTTTTAAAAATTAAAATCTGTATATATATATATATGTATATATATATATATAGTTCTGTAGATTAAAATTATAGTAAAGACATTTAAATTAAATTAAGTGACTAGTTGTTACCCCACTAAAAAATCAGAAAGTCTTAAGCAGCTTTGTGAGTTTAAAATCGAGGGCCGATTGTTGTGTGATGTCTTTTAAAACCCAAAGAAGATGAGTAAATGTTGCAGTGTAATCTAGAAAAAATGCTTTTATAAATAAAAAGCGTCATTAAGCTGCTCGTGTAAGCAGCAGTGTCAGACTGCAGGTCTCCTCCTGGAAACAAAAAGCGTCATCACGTTTCTCTCAGGCCTCAGGGCCACATGTCAAATATGAGACGAGCTGCAGTCCGACACGTTTGGACAGGAGGGATGCTGCTGCTCCCAGATCAGCAGTTATTAATACCCAGCCTCTGAACAGCTGCATGACGCAGTGTGGACCAACCTGAACAAACAGAAGAGGTAGAGGAAAGAAACTTCATTCTGGGCTAAGAAAGAAAAAAAACTGTCAGAACGTCAGAACAGTTTACTTGATTACTGTGTCAAAATGATCCATTAGGTCATTTTGACCAAAGGTCAGTAGGGTAAAATATAGTTTATTTTAACTTCAATAATTTTACCAGTGAGTTCAGATAATCTTCAAACAGTCTTTAACACGATGTGGAAATTTAAACCCACAATAACACTCCCATCACTGTGTCCTAATGGTTGATATAAGGTTTATATATACATACCATTCATGTGCTGTAACTCAGTCAGGTTGTATATTTCCTACAGCACTGGAAGGCATCACCCGGAAGTGAGCAGTAAAAGTGAAAAAACTTGTTTACTGTTTATTTCTTCATTTATGTTTTAATTCATGACWGCTGTTTATCACCAAAAAAGTGAAGCACAAACATTAAAAGGCTGTTTATGTCATCCGGTGCACTTTTCTGTCACATGAAACGAATAAAAATCAACATAAAGCTGCTGCTATAGATAAGCTCTGCTGTGATTGMTTGTTGCAAGCGCGTTCTTTTGGTTGATTGGATAAAAATTTGTAAATGGGCGTGGTCAGCCCGCTCAGCTGATACATTCTCCAACAGGTCGTCATTGTTTTCACGACCAAAACAATTTTCAGTGGAGTGAGGCGGAGCGACGGAACCTGCTGATGTGGAGAAACTTATAAACGAAACCAAACACACCCGAGGTTGGATCAGGAACTTTTACTCGCTGCGAACTCTCTGTTTGCTCTTTAGTTTGGATTCTTTTCCAAGCAGAAACAGGTGGAGACAACAGAAAGAGAAGACATGTCTGCAGCCAGGTAACACCTGTCACTTCCAGTGACGTTAAAACTAAATACGAAATCCGAAAGTTTTTGATTCACATTATTTCAACACGAGCAGCAGGTTTTTAAATTTCAWCGCAACGTAAAAAGTTTGTTTTCTGCTTCAAAATGTTGTCTGCAAGAGACAATAAAACAAAAAGTTTAACAAAAGGCATTAGTGTGAAATGTAAAAGAATATTAATATTTCAAAACTCTCTGACATGTATCTCATGTAAGCTTAAATTCGGGAAAAATAGGAACATTAGCGATTATTCAGTGTGATATTTCTTTATATGTTTGTTTGTTAGTTATTTAAAATCACATGAATGAAAAATAAACACGTGTTCACAGCAAAATAAACTTAAAATAATTTTTACAACAATGAATAAAAACTGGAAATTTGGTTTCATTTTATAAGATTTGTCGCTGTATTCAGACTTCTTAGTTTTACTTTCTTTTTCTTTGAAACGTGACCAGCAGCGACACCTGCTGGTCAAATGATAAAACAGCTCTTAAAACAATACTGTAACACTGTGTGCTGCAGGATGAGAGGATGGTAAATACTCATTTAGACAAAAGAAACAGTTTTGTTACAATATGTTTACTCCTAAAACTTGGTGATTGATGTAAAAATTAAAGATTACTCACTGTTTTTCATCTGTTTGATAAAAAATAAGACCTGAAGTTTCACTTTACTCACTGCTCGTTTCCCCCCTTTAAATAAATAAATAAATAACACGTTGAAACCTGAAGAGAAAGAGGTGTGGGTTTATAATTGCTACCAGTTTAATTGTAGTTAAATATGAGTCACTACAGGATCATCTGTAATCAAACAAATCCTTTTATTGCTTTTCAGCCTGCTGGCACACGTAGGGCTAGAAACAGTCAAACTAAAGTAAATGAAAATAAAGATAGGAATTGTTGACATTAATAATAGAATTAGAAGCTTCTTGTTTTTCCTCCCTGTGTTGATTATATATTTTTGTCTCAGGAAATAACTGAAAGTAAAAACCTATTTGTTAAGAAACTCAAAATTTCATCTCCATTCAAATTCTTAGTAGTAAAAAAAAGTAGAAATTTGACTCAAAATGTTGAAAGAACCTCCTTAATTT